TTCTTTTTTAATAAATCTGCAAAAATGTCAAACATTCTGTGTTTTTCTGTCAATATGGGGTGCTGTGTGTACATTAATGAGGAAGAAAATGGACTTAAATGATTTTAGCATATGGCTGCAATATAACAAAGAGTGAAAAATTTAAGGGGGTCTGAATACTTTTTGTACCCACTGTAGGTACTTGTGGGGATAGAACACTGGGAGCTTTGGGGGACTGGAAGTTGCTTGAGGGGATTGGAGGCTAATTTCTCAATTTTTACAAAAATGACAAGGTGTAAGGTTAGAGCAAGTGTCGGCTTTGGTTAAGACTGGGGGAAGGGTTAAGGTAAGTTTCCTGTAAATTAATAGTGTATGCATGGACCCTGTAAATGATGACTACAAGGATATGCTGGGGTGTGCATGTGTGTGTGTAAATGAGAGCCAGTCTTACAGATTGGCACCTCCTTGGACTACATGAGAGTATTTTAATGAGGCATTCTGTTGGCCATTACTTCTCTGTCCTTATCCAGCCCCCTGCTAACTCTTGGCAAGCTGCTTCCTGTATGATCTACAGTTAGAAAAAAAAAAAACAGAGAGACATTCTCTGGTGTGTATTCTTTCTCCCTGCTCCTTCCCTGACTGGCGACACTTCTTGCAGGCAGACACAGAGTGGCAGAGCTTGGCACAGTATGTTCTCCACTGAACAGGCTATACATGAGAGCAGAGACAGACAGAAAGCAAACAGGAGAGAACACAAAAGCAGACAGCTGAACTGTAGGCATGGCTCCGCTGACATCAACAAGCCAAGTAATTACACCCACATCCTGACTCTGAGGGAGGGAACACCCATCAAAAACTTCTAGAAGTGTCTCTATTGAGTTGCACAAAATATCACACATGTAGTATAGACATCTACCCTCACCTGCTGTAGAGCCTTATTTATGACACCCTAGGTACAAACAGTAAAGCTTTGATCATACTAAAGGTGCTAATCTGCCCTTTTGATTGAGTCACTACACTGTGTGTGCATTCCCACACAGCACGTGCATGACAGTGTGGTGCCAGCCTGGAACTAGCAAAGACACTCATGCATTCCAGCAACAGCAATTAAATCACCATTTGTGACCTCCTCTCTCTTATAGCAAAAATATTTTATCAATCTTTATTTGACATATATACAGTTTTTTCCCTTAAAAATA